CCTCTTTGCTATTTTTATTACCATCGGTCTGCTCTCCTGTAATGTTTAGCCAGAAAGCTCTTAAAATGGAAAGGACTTGTGTGCATATTTTCAGTGGCAACAAAGAAAATGGCAGTGAGGTGCCAGATGAGGGGGGACGAGTGGGTTGTAGCAGCCCACAGGCCATGTCTCAGGAGTCTGGGCGAGAAAGAAAAAAACAGTGGAGTTAAGAATCTTGTGCTAAATCAGTGGGAATAGGAGGAGTGGGAAGGGGTTTCCCAGTGACTCAGACAGTAAAGAATCTGCCGGCAATGAAGGAGATCCAGGTTCGATCCCTGGCTCTGGAAGATTTCCCCTGGGGGAGGAAATGGCTTCCCACTCCAACAGTCTTACCTGGAGAATTCCATGGACAGAAGAAGAGCCTGATGGGCTACAGTCCATGGACGTGCAAAGAGTAGGACACAACTGAGCAACTAACACTTTCACGTTCATGAGGAGTGCGAATACAACGCCCCCAACACCTGCCTACTCAGGACTTTAGCACGGCCTGATTTCATTGAGGTAGACCGTCAGTAAGTCTTAGCTCTCACTCCCCTCTCTCCATCAGAGCTTGAATATTCTGTAAATCAGCTTCGGTGAGCTTATTAGCTGGGACTGGGTTAGCTAGGACTACGAGGCCAAAATAAAAGAACCTCAATCAACAACTCTTTGGTACCAGATAGGAAAGGGCTTCGTTAATGCTGGAACCAGGTAAGAAAGGGATTGTTGTGGGACAATGTTTGGGAAGCTCATCTGAAGAGAGAATGGGCTCCTAGGAATAATGCCAGACTGAAATGGAAACTTTCCTGGGCTTGATGAGCTTTATTAGGCTCTGGTGATTTCCTTATTGAAGTGTCAAGGAGAATAATTCCAGACAAAAGTGGTGCCATCTAAAAGAGGCCATCATGTGAGAGTCAGAAAGAGGCTTATTTTAACTATTTTTAAAAGTTTATAAGATTCCTAAAACCTTGGTACCTCCACCCCTCTTTGCTATTTTTATTACCATCGGTCTGCTCTCCTGTAATGTTTAGCCAGAAAGCTCTTAAAATGGAAAGGACTTGTGTGCATATTTTCAGTGGCAACAAAGAAAATGGCAGTGAGGTGCCAGATGAGGGGGGACGAGTGGGTTGTAGCAGCCCACAGGCCATGTCTCAGGAGTCTGGGCGAGAAAGAAAAAAACAGTGGAGTGGTGGAATGGAGATGGGAGTAGGGGCCAATGGAGATGTCCTGGACTATGCCAGGACAGAGAGATTACCCTAGGGTTTTTTGGATTTTTCGGTGGTGGGGAGGGAGGGATAGAGCTGCTTTACAATGTGTTAGTTCCTGCTGCAGAGTAACGTCAATCAGCTATATGTATACGTATATCCTCTCTCTTGGACCTCCCCTCTCCCCATCCCATTCGTTTAGGTCACTGAGCTGAGCTCCCTGACCTATGCAGTAGGTTCCCACTAGCTAGCAAGAGACCCATGTACAGATTTCTTGAATGTGCTGGACTGAAATTAATGTTTATAATGACATCTAAAAAAAATTTCCTAATTTAAAAATAAAATAACTTTTTCAGCAAGTTATCTTGACATTATAGATTTTTAAAATTTGGTTAAGATTCTTGAATCCAATAGATCGAATACTGTGAGAATTAATTTATAAATCTTAGATATCAGAAAATTAAAAGGTTTCGTGAGTATTGGATAATACTTGTATATACATTAGCTTTCTGTGGATCACTTGACTGCCAGTATTTCATCTTAAGAGTGGCAATTAAGAATGAGAAAACATCCCCCAGCCCACACTACCCCTGGCTTGGAATCCACTAAAACTTGTGGGATGAACATTTTACCCAAATATAAACCTTTTAGTGATTAAGTTAATTTACTCTTTTCAAACTGTGACATCCTGTTTATAAGAAAGAAAACTTATAAAAAGTCATCTTGAGCATGAACTAATTTCTAAAATCAACATTTTGGTGAACTTATGTGTTAAGTGAGTCACAACTATTTGGATGAGGACTTTCTGGTTTTGAAAGAGAAAGTACTTGGGAAAAAAATGTCATTTTGGTTTCTTTGAAATGGAAACATTTAAAAAATGGAATTCACTAGTGAGCCTATCATGTAACAGATTTCCACACACATTTCCTAAGTCACTTCTGTGAATTTGTAGCACTGCATCCCCCATGGGCCAAGTCTTAACCATCCCAAGATGCATTTAGCCTTTATAGTCCTTCCCAGAAATGATATTTTTAAAAATGCTGCACAAGGTAAATTTTTTACAATATTTTGCAGGTAAATATTACTGACTTTATAAACTGAACCTTGAAAATTATTCTTTGTCCCCAACAAAGGCTGAACTTGTATCTGTTCCTATTATTTGCCTGATGGAAAGACGTTCTCTTTTTACTCTGACCCTTTAATATTTGAAAATGTCATGGTGGGTAACTCACAGTCTAAGTTATAGAGTATGTTATAGTCAAATTTTTATATTTGATTTTTAATGTATACTGGCTGTGTATTAGCTGTTCTTCTGAATATACAGGTTGAGTTTTTTTAATTATGTCCACAACCCCTATTTAAGCCCTGTTTAATCCCCAGTCTCTACACTTTTGATTCTAAAATCATTCCCTGCTCTTCCCTGTTGTGTGTGTGTTAAGTTGCTCAGTCGTGCTGACTCTCTGTGACCCTACCCACCAGGCCCCTCAGTCCATGGGATTCTCCAGGCTATAATACTGAAGTGGGTAGCCATTCCCTTCTCCAGGGGACCTTCCCTGGCCCAGGGATCGAACCTGTGTCTCCCACATGGCAGGCAGACTCTTTACTTCTGAGCCAGCAGGGAAGCTCCGCCCTGTTAAGATTTGTATTTAAGGATCCTGCTGGTTGTCTTGCCCTTTGGTACCTCAAGCACTTCAAAATTGTGATGGCCCATTTTGAATTACTTTTCCTTTTATTGTCCCTGTTCCTTCTGCTGTGTTTCCTGTTGAATTGCTGGTACCATCCACCCAATGAGGGTCTCTGGTCTCCGGTCAGCCTCGAGCCCTTCCTTTCACTTACCACACCAACTATGTAGTCGGCGGACCCGGACGGTTCTGCCTCAGGTGTCTTTTCTTTCCATAGCAGTCTGACTCTGCCTCAGTCTTTCCTTACTAGCTCAAAACAGAGTTTCTCACTGGGCTTCCCTGTCAAACTTTCCCTCTCTGCCCCTAGGTCTTTTTGCGCATGTAAGTCAAACACCAATCTGCCTAAAAACCTTTACGTACTCCGCACTGCTTTAAGAACAAGTCTTTACAACTTTCTTCTCCCCCTGGATTCCTCTCTTCTACCTGTCTATTCTTTTGACCCCCTTCCAAATATAGCTTTAGCTGGTACCAGCAGCACCTCTGGGAGCTCTGCTGGTCTTGTTGCTGTGTAAGGGGCGAAGGCTTCCCTTGTTGCTCCAGGACAAGCTCTGGAGCCTGAGTGCTCAGTAGCTGCGCCAGACTCGCTTCCCTGATGGGCTTAGTGACCCTGCGGCCTGTGGGATCTTAGATCCCCAACCAGGGATCGAACCTGTGTCCTCTGCATTGGAATGCAGATTCTAAACCTCTGGACCACAGGGGAAATCCTAGTCCTGTGGATATATCAAATGTTTTCACACTAAGTTTTTTTCTGTTTTGATCCTCATTGTTTGACTCACCTTCTGTCTTCTCATCTTTGCCCTTCCAGAAGTAAAAATCATTTCTTCTGTGTCCTGTCATAGTACTTTTTAATTCTTTTTTGCCATCCTTTGATAATGTCACATTGTGATCAGTTGTCTATGAGAGGCTTTCTCAGGCTAAATTATTAATTTCTCAAGAGAGAGACTGCTTCCCTCTCCTGTGAAAAGTATAACTGTTTTGGAGTTTGAAACTTAATAAGTGCCCTATTAATATGTGCTGAAGTTGGGATACATTGAAATGTATTCAGATTCTCATAGGTGCAATTACTGCACCAAATAAGTGGAAAAGTAACAAAGATTAAAGCAGAACTCCATTGCCAATTTTTTTTCTTGAGAGCAAGGGATTTATATTTATGACAGACACGGGAATTCCCTTGAAACATCAGATAATAATGAATGGCAGTATCATCTGAAAATTGCTATTTATTCAAATTATATCCGCCAAAATATTGTCACTGGCATTTGTTATCAATCCATTGTATTGATGATTTTAAAATAAGAACTAATTTCTGTCCAGGTTGTCTTTGAATTGATTGGTTTGCATGTATTGATTGGTTAGCATGAATTGATGAGAAATAGGATAAAAATACTAAGTTAAATACATGCTAAAAAAAGTATCAACTCTGTTCCCTATTGCAAGAGACGTGGAAAGAGAAACTAATACACATGAAATAATTAGGTGCTAGACTAGTTGAGATTGATTATAATAAACAAAAAGAAACATGGGACAAGGGAAAATTGTTATTACCTGAAGAAGTTGTGAAAGTCTTACTAAGAACTTGTTATATCTGAAACCAATATAATATTGTAAATCCACTGTCAGTTCAGTCACTCAGTCATGTCCAACTCTTTTCGACCCCATGGACTGCAGCACGCCAGGCTTTCCTGTCCATCATCAACTCCTGGAGTTTGCTCAAACTCATGTCCATGGAGTTGGTGATGCCATCCAACCATCTTATCCTCCGTCGTCCCCTTCTCCTCCTGCCTTCAATCTTTCCCAGCATCGGGGTCTTTTCCAGTGAGTCAGTTCTTCATAGCAGGTGGCTAAAGTATTGGAGTTACAGCTTCAGTATCAACTATACTTTAATTAAAAATGAATTAATTTGAATGGTTCTTGAAAAATAGATAAGGATTACATGCATGAAAATAAGGAATTCCATATGAAGTAAACAACATGGATCAACTGACAAGATTTCTGTGTTTTGAAGGCCAAAACGCAGTTAATAATTAAAGCAGGAATCTGTGGTTTACCTCTATAATATGAAGTTATTCTGTTCTGCTTTGTTCTTGTCTCACAGGTGGATCGGATATTGAGTACCTAGACTTCTATAAGCCTGTTGTGTGGTTTTGGATCCTTGTAGGGCTTGCTTACTTCGCTGCTGTCCTGAGTATGATTGGAGACTGGCTCCGAGTGATATCAAAAAAGACAAAGGAAGAGGTGAGAAATAAAAATGTGTGTAAAAATCTGATTTAACTAACTCAGTAAAGGTTGCTTTTAATGTCTTTTTTTTAGATACTAAATATTTACTAATTCATTTAAATATTTAAAAATATTTAAACATTACTTAAAAATTTTAATGTTTATGTTTGGTATGCATTTGCTACAGGAAGCTATCAATCATATGAGGTGTAATTCATTGACTTAACCAAAACTTACTAAATACCACTCCATGTCAGATGATATCTTGGTGCTGAGAGTAATTTGTAATGAAAAAAAGATGCAATTAAAGACATTTTATTCATTATTTCTTTTTTTTTCTTGATTTCCTCAATAACGTAGAGTAAATTTTATTCCATAAAGAGACAATAGGAAATATTTGTGTCAAGATATCAGTAGCATGAAAAAGTGAAGGTAATATATAATATTGAATTCTCATTGTATTCAATTATTTCCTTTTCTCTTAGGTCTGTATAAGTTTGTACACATGCACATGTACACATATGCATGTATTCCCCAAAGTTGCTTACATTAGAACCCATTATCTTGTCTATGGATTTCAGCTGTTCAGAAAGATACCCTTTTATCTTTTTGGTGCAACTGTATATACAGAAATGACCATTAGAATTTTTGATTCGAGATTTTGGAAAGTTTGAAATTTCACTCTTGACTAAAATTCCTAAACAGAATTACATTTTAATTTATTTTGGAAAGTCCAGAACTACTAGTTTAAGTGTGACAGAGTAGTGTTTTATTATGAATTCTGTATTTTTTGGTTCTGAATCTTAGGCAACTTTATTAATATTTTTTACAACACAACAAATTCATAAGACTTGCAAATATAGTATCCACAGTCTTCCTTTAATTATTCCCTCCTTTTCATTATCTGGTGTTCATAGACCAAGAGACATCAGTGTTAAAATCTTTGAATGATAACAGCAATCATGAGTCTTTAAACATACGCCTGAAAGAAACTAAGATAGACTAAGATAATAAATGATAAAATTAATTTCTCTCAACAAACAAGTATTTTCTTTGAACACATCAAGTCATTTAATTTCTTACTAATACCCAAGGTGCCTATGGTAATTAGAAGGAGTATAAGTTATCCAACATTTCCCTTCATGGATACCATATTTCTCAGTTGGTAATTCATATATTCAGTCTGTGTGTATTAATCTGTATCTTAGTTACACCACTAAACCAAAAACTTTATTATAAACATATCAGCAGGACAATGTGCTTGAGATTCTAGTTTAAATCATGTGAAAAGTACTTTGAATAAGACCTCAACTGATTTGCCTCAGTCTTATTGTGTGTGTTTGTGTTTGTGTGTGAGAGAGAGAGACAGAGAGAGAGAGGAAGAGAGGGAAGGATAGAATAAGGTGGAGAGGGAGAGAATTATGGTTATTTTAACTTCAGTGTACTTTTAAGGGTCTTGAGATGTTAAGGGGGACAAAAGAAATTGTAACTAGGAAATATGCTAGATAACATAGCTAAAAAAGCAACTTTCAAACTTCTAGTATAAGCTGGCATTAAAATGCATTTTTAAAACACACACAAACATTTTTTCTAAGTAAAATCGAGTTGAACAGAGAATATCTCTGTTAGATAGTTTAAAAAGTATTGTTTTGTGGAAATATATATTTCCACATATATATATATAGTAAATGTAGTATATATTATATACATACACATACACACATATATGTGCATATATATACCCACTTACAGACACACACACACACACACATACTAAGATTATNTACCCACTTACAGACACACACACACACACACATACTAAGATTATTATGGATCACACTCCAAAATTTGAAAGCTACCAAGGCACATATAGGGCGAAATTTTATCTTAATGCCACTGGCAAAATATGTTTGATTAACGTTTAAAAGCTCGTATTATTAAAAAAAGAAAAACCAGTGCTTTTTGCGATAGGATTAGCTAGTACAAAGCACTAGCACGTTTTTTCCAGAGCAGTGAGATAATCATCTGTATTACTCTCCTTGGGCTGCCATAGCAAAAGTGACTTAAACTGGACTCTGTTTCTTCACAATTCAGGAAGATGGGAGTCCTGGATTAAGGTGCTGGTTTCTGGTGAGATCTCTCTCCTTGGCTTGCAGGTGGTGCCTTCTTGCTGTGTATTCAAAGGGCCTTGCCTCTGCACATGTGCCTGTAGAGAGAGAAGGTTCTAGATCGCTTTCTTCTTCTTACAGGGATACCAGTGCTGTTGGATTAGGGCTGCACCTTACGACCTCACTGAACCTTGCATGTGTATGCATGCGTGCTAAGTCACTTCAGCCGTGTCTGACTCTTTGTGACCCTGTGGACTGCAGCCTGTCAGGCTCCTCTGTCCATGGGATTCTCCAGGCAAGAATACTGGAGTGGGTTGCCATGTCCTCCTCCAGGGGATCTTCCTGACCCAGGAGTGGAACCTGTGTCTCTTATGTCTCCTGCATTGGCAGGGGAGTTGTTTACCACTAGCGCCACCTGGAAAGCCCCACTGAATCTTAATTACCCCCTTTAAGGCTCTGTCCCCAAATACAGTGACAGTGGGGATTAGGGCTTCAACAAAGGACTTGCTGGAGGACTGGATTCAGGCTTTAACACAATCGTTTCAAAGAAATTTAAATTTCTACATTAACTGGCTTATTTAATATGAGAAGCAAGTTTGTTTGCCTCCTTTTGAATGATCTTCTTGATTCTCAGCCAGAAGTGTGAGATGTATCATTGTGTGTTTCCAACACTGAAAAGTAGAAAGCGCTTTTCCTTTCTTACCATAAGTCTTTTGGCTTGTCCCTCGTCTTTGGAGTGACATATCCTTTCTGGTGACTGCATTTGGAGAAAGCTCATGTGAGTAAAGGCCATGAGCAAGTTTACGGAAACCTGCTGGAGCTGCAGCTGCTCCAGACAGTTGAGCCAGTTGCAATGGAACTGTCACTTTGAGCAGATGTGTGTTTTCTACTTTGTAATGCAGTTTAGGGAAATGACAAAAGTGGGTCACAAATTCAACAGAGAATGTAAAGAGAGAAAGGGAGAGATGATTTATAATTGTGAAGAAAGAAAGAGAAAGACAATTTATAATCATGAATGTATAGATTGTTAGGGCCAAAATTTTTATAAAGGAAATATGACTAAACATTTCTACAGCAGTGGAAAAAGATTATTGAATAAGTCTAATCTTGAAATAACTCACTAAAGTTAAATAATTAAATAAAAACCAAATAACTACATCCTAGGAGTCATCTTTACACACACAAACCATATTGGGTGACTGCTCACTATGTGTTCATTACCTTTTGTACTTAAACCATTTCAAATGCTCCAACTTTTAAAAACTGCCTAAGTGTTTAGAAACAACAAGAATATTTCTAGTTTTCAACTCCATGAGAATGCTAAATAATTTTTGATAACTTGGAATCCTTGCTATTAAAAATGTCACTAGTACAGAACATTAAAAAATCAAAATAATATATATTAGAAATTTTTCAAGTGGTGATACAAAAACACAAGCTTTCCCTCCCACGAAAGATTCTGGCTAATAGTAAGTTCCAGTCTTACATTAGTTTTTCAAAAACAAATCTCCTTAAATCATATCAGGTAAGTGTAAACATAGAGCTCTAATCATATTTCTGTTTTTTTTTTTTTTAAATCTTAAAGTCTGTTCTGTTTCCAATGAAGATCAATTTTATGAAAATATATTTAGGAGTAAGGAAAAAGTTTTTGATGAGCATGCTGAAATAAAACGTTGATACAGCTGATCTATCTGAAATGTTTGAGAGGAAAGGGTTGAGACAGAGAGTCGCATTGGCATGTATACACTACGGTGGGTAGTGAAACAGATCGCTAGTGCGAAGCCACTGCATAGGGCAGGGAGCTCAGCTCAGCGCTCTGTGGTCGCCTAGAGGGGCGGGCTGGGGGGTGGAAGGGAGGCCAAGGAGGGAGGGGGCATACGTCTACATGCAGCCGATTCACGTTGTTTTGCAGCAGACACTGACACAGCCTTGTAAAACAACTATATTCCAATTAAAAAGAGAGTTAGTTGGAGCAACGCTGTGTAGTTTCAGAACTGTCACATATAATTATAGTTGATCTGCGTTCCTCAAGGAAAAGAATAATGACCTCAATCATTCTCCCATGGAGTCATATATGCGTTTCTGTAAAAGGATTTATCTGTTTCATTATTTCTTAAGCTCTAATGGAGAGTAACAATATTCAGTACTGAGAATTGATATGACTAATTATCTTTTTCTGTGAAACCATGTACCCTCTTCTGAGGAAATAATGTTTCCATTTAGAAAATAAAGTTTATTTATATATTCTAAATAACACAATAATACTGATATCAGAGGCAGGTAAAATAAAAATAAGATGTGGCCACGAAATTCAGAAGGTAAACTCCTAAGCAGGCAGGGGGTACTGCATCCTTATGTACAGATGTAGTTCAGTTTGCTACTGCTGGCTTTCCTTGAGTTTGAAAGACCTGTAATTTCTATATCGTTCTTGTACTGACGTACAGGTACCACAGCTTGCTGGGATGGTCTCGTCCATATGTGTGACAAATACCACTTCTTCAGCCCCTGTATCAGCTGCCTCTGTTCTCTGGAGGCCAGTGGCACTCTTGTTGTTGGTTAATGGCTAAGTCGTGTCTTAACTCTTTGCAACCCCTTGGACTGCAGCACACCAGGCTTCCCTGTCCTTCCGTATCTCCTGGAGTTTGCTCAAACTCATGTCCATTGAGTCGGTGATGCCATCCACCCATCTCATCATCTGTCATCCCCTTCTCTTCCTGCTCTCAGTCTTTCCTAGGATCAGGGCAATAAGTTGGCTTTTTGCATCAGGTGGCCAAAGTACTGGGACTTCAGGAAAAGTCCTTCCAATAAATATTTAGGGTTGATTTCCTTTAGAATCGACTGGTTTCCTCTCCTTGCTGTCTAAGGGCCTCTCAGTGGCACTGTAGCTAGCCACACTGAATAGATACCCAG